CAGGGAACAGAGACCGATCGGTAGCCAGTGCAACTCGTGGAGGATAGGTGTAACGTGGGAGTACCGAGGTGCACCGACAATCGCTCGTGCGGCTGCATTCTGGACGAGTTGAAGTCTCCGAATACTCTTCAAAGGCTGCCCCATGTAGAGCGCATTGCAGTGACACCATCTCTAGGCTTCTCTGTTCCCTGGCTTCCATTTCTTCTTCTTTTTTGGGGGGTGGGGTGGTAGAACATTCTTTCTTTGGTGGCCACTCTCAGTTTTGCCCTTTCCCCCTTTTTTCTCATTTAAGGCCTTCCTTCCAAGATACAACCCAAACCTTCCTTTCCAGTTTTTTTAAGATATGTCCCATTTTATCCCTGAAGTTTTTCACCATGAGAGTATGGACATTGTGTAGAATCCAGCCCTTTTTCAATCACACCATTTGTGTATCCATTTGTTAAGTTCCAGGATCCTGCTTCCTTGCACCAAAACCTCAACTGGAACAATTAATGAACAAATTCCTTCTCAGCCCCTTGTAATCTTAGTAGATTCTTTTAAGATACCTTCTGGCTATATAATTTGTCTTGCAGTGGATCATGAGAAAGGGAAGGTTATTGATGGCTTTGAATAGGCTTGGTAACCACATTGTCATGTGCCATTTAAGGGCACCTGCAAGACAATAGCCCTCCTATGATGTCACCGTTGGTTTCCACAGCCCTTCAGTTCATTTCAGCTGGGAATCTTCCATAGCTATGATTTACCCTTTTCTCAGGGTGGCTGTTGGGCTTCTTGGATCCTTGGGGGTCCAAGCATCTTCCCTAACGTTACATGCAACGTTGTTCAGGTGGCGGCATCCAGACAGCCTGAGAGCAGTTCTTGGTTTCTGTTGACACTGATCTTGTTATTTGGCAAAAAGAAGGTGCTCCCAGAATGGACTGAGAAATAAACATGCTAAATGCATGCTTACAAACTAAAAGACAAGAGAAGCAGACAGATTTGAGGGGGGGGGGGAAATAATCCAGTTGTTCCAATAATTAAAATATATATATTCTAACTTGATCACATTTAGGTTTGCAATATCTGTCTTCCAATTTGGCCAACTTATTCTCTTTTGCTTTCTGTTCAAAAAGTCAACTTTAATTGGCATCTTGTGTGCTGAGGGAAAATTTCTCGATTTTCCCATAAAGACCCATCAGGTCTCCTGGAGAAATAGGTTCTTTGCGGCCATACTTTTTCCCTCCTCCCTATGCCCTTGACTCTGCCCCCCATCCAAGGGGAACTGAATGAAGTTGAGCCCTGGGTAGTATGTGACCTGAAAAATCAGGGTTGTTTTTTTTCTGAAAATTAAAACAAGGGGAGTTATTGCAATGAAAGGGTTGTTGCATCCCTTTCAGGGGGCTATGCAAACTCAGCGAGGGGTTCTTTGGCGCTCTCTGGGCTTGGTTGTTTT